TAAAATGCAGTGTGACCATTACCTTGCCAATGTGCAGTTTGCTTTTTAAGTCTGATGCCTACCAGGAAGGTGAATGAAGGTGGTGAGAGTGGCCACTTTGTGGGTGTACATAAGTGGATAGCTCAGCGCTCGACACATGGGCAGGGCTGAGGGATCACCCGTGGGATCAGTGACAAGAGAAGATGCGCATGCCTGAACTTCATAGAGCCACTGGAGGATGGCACATCAAGAAGCAGAAGATTAGAAGTAATCCAATGAGTCAGGGCCTTCGGCCTTGGTGTTCAAGGAAAACTCTTAAGATAAACTTCACTGCATGCTCACCTTGAGAATAAATCACTTCATTCCATAAATAATCTATGCCACTTACTGAAAATGAAATTATCATTACCATACGAACTTTGCAGTTTCAACACAGAAGTAGTCAGGACCCAGAGAGTTGTCCATAGTTCCTAGTACATCCTTCATCTGAAAGTCTACAAAACAAAATGACCTCCAAACCTAAAATTTTCTGGGCACAGACATGTGAAATATTCCAGTTTGATTTCATGATGGGCTTTAGAGAAAAACAGGGGTAAGCTAAGAGTTGCTTAGGATCTGTAAGGGAAAAGACTCACCCAGTCATTTCCTCTGTGGAAAAACTTTGTTTCATGTTCAGAGCTATTAAGACTATTATCTACATTCAGGCTCTGTGCATAAGCTGTGTATGAAGCATAAATAAATTTTGCATTCAGACTTGAGTCTCCTCTCAAAAGTTATATCATTATGTTATGCAAATACTTAGAAATAGAAAACTGGAGTCTCAAATACCAAATATCCAAATATGTCAGCAGCAATCACTATAAAAGGTGAAGTCATAAACACAGGGTGAGAGCCATTAGGAAAGTTTCACATTTTACTAAGAGTAATGAAGCAAGCAAGATAACAAAGCCAGACTTGGGACCTCAAATTAATAAGAAATAGAATTCCCATTACCTAAAGGAGTGCTCTATTTGGAGCTGACTGTATTTCTTTAAAAGGAAAGTCTCTTCTCAGGAGCGAAAATTCAAGCATACATATGTTATCAGGAGTATAATGTTCTATCATCTCCATGTAAAACAGATACAGAGAAAAATAAAAGCTATGATGCCAGAAGTATATTCAACTCATGTGAACTTGATACTTCACATCCAGGGATCCCACTCATGATACCATGTCACCTTGCAGCAGCTATGAATGGTTTCATCCATCTGTGCAGGTTGCTAGGTAGTTTGGAGAATCAGAAAACTGAAAGATGGATTTAATTTTGAAGAGACTGAATCTTGGTACATGAGAGGATAGGATATAAAGGCTAGGAATGGGATTGGGAATGTTGCCCTAGGTCAACTATCTTCAGCTATCTAGAGATAAGGAGACAGCTACGAAAGAATGAGGAGCTGCCAGCAGGTCCCCGTTCACATCTCTGAGGGAATGCAGCTTTGCTTCCATTTCGTGAAGGCCTTCAACCAGCCACGAAGACGTCCTCACTTCTTTCTCAGACCATGAACTAGCGGTGAGGAGGCCTAAATGCCTGTTTTCCTTTGGAGCTAAGGAAATACCATTTTAAAGCAGAGAATTTTGAATATGTCAAAGAAAAAATTTCATTTTTTTGTAACTGACCTTCCCCATGAGAAAAAATAAAGCATAGAATCACACCTGGCCTGCACAGTTGACAGATGCAGGGCTAGGATGACATGGAGTTGTTGATATTTAGGTGATAACCTTATGTTAGACCGGTATTAAAGACAGTGTTATTCAGAGGACAGGTATGTTCTCTGGGACATTGATAAAATCACTTTAAACCACTGGATCTCAGTTTTTCCAAGGACAGCACTGGAGCACACTCAGAAGCTTTGGGAGGCCATGACAGTACCATCTTTCCTGTGTTTTTAACTGTTCTGAAATTCTGACACCCCTTACCCCCAAAAAGACCAAGAAACAATTCAAAGTCAGATGATTTTAAAGGTCTTTGATGAATTTATGGCTCTTAGGACAGAAAGTAGATAATCATTGTCATTATATATACAAGAAGTGGCAAGGAAGACGTTTAAAACTATCCACAACCTCTAGTCCATCTCTCCTATCCAGTCGCCTTTTAAAAACTAGGAATGTTCCGGCTAAAAAGTTTTCAACAATTCCTACAGAGCATTAGTCACACTTAAGCCACGTCACATTCTCCAAGTAAGATGCCATTAGGGCTGTGAAAGCCATCGCTGGACTCTTATCTCCACTCCTGACAAGTGGCATGACCCTTCCCTAGCTAGTTAATAACCCTGGTTCTTATTCTTTTCTGCAGAGATAAGAAATTGTATTTCCAAAGGCTGCATTCATGCCAAGTAAGATAACATATGTAGAGAGATTGTTGGAGGGTAGCACACCAATAACAATAATAGTTTCCTTAAAAAAATCACAAACTTCCCCACTTCAAAGTAAAACGAACATTTACATATACAACTTGTGACCTGAATAGAAGGTGATAAGCAAAGATTTTGAGAAATTATGTGGGGTTTAATCTGCTGAAGATGGAACAGATTCACAAAAGTAAGAGCGTCAGACTAGAGTCATCCAAGAAACACCGTTTTTAAGTTTCAGAATTGTGTAAGTGAAAGAAAGGAAGATAATAAGAGCACTAGCTCATTAGGCCGTGTTGGCACAACTGTTATCAAGGACAGACAACTGTTTGAACAAGAAAAATTGCATTCATTAGGGACACATATGCTGCCAGCAAATTACAGCATGCTCAGTACACACTTTCTCTTTCTCCCAAGGAGAGTGGGAGCAGTCGATACTTAACAGAGTAAATTATTTAGTTCCTTAGTCAAGAAATAATTCAACAATAAACTAAGCCTCAGGAATCATGGCTGCTCAGAATGATAGAACTGAAATCCTCTAATCTATTAGGAGGTGTTATTCCTGAGAAAACTAAAGGAAAATAAAAGAAAAATTAAATAAATAAGAGTAATACCTAGAGTCACAGGAGGCAGAATTAGTTCTGGTGTCTAATCTCATTAGCTTATTCTTTTTTTCTGACTAGAGGAAAGCAATGTAGTTTTATCCACCATACACACCAACTGCTTAGCATTAGAAATATGAGGATCCATCTCAGTGCTGCATCTTTGGGGTTCACAAGGTAACAGAAGACAGGGCCAATGACCAATATACACAGCTGGGTTTGACCTGTGAGGAACGTGAGTATATTCCAGGTGAATGAAGAACATGTGAAAGATGTCTCCTGTGACGTCGTGTCTCCTTCTGGACTCCATTCTCAATGTGGATACAGAGAAGCAATGCGCGGGGAGGCCTCTCACAGAGCCACAGGAGAGAGCCAACCAGCAAGCTAATGGACATACCAACCTCAACGAAGAAAATGGCTTACAGCAGAAACCAATCTGATGTTAGGGCAGAAGAGAAAATCCCATCTGATGAAGAATGAGTAAACGCTTGGTTTCCTGGACAACTTACTGTGCATTGAAAATAGCTGCAAGTGCTCCGAAAACTAGAGTTTGCCCATTTAACGAATTGGATAAGGATGAGATTTTAATGCAGGTTTAATTCGAAGATTTCCAAGTGGCAAAGGCATAGCAGGGAAAAATACCCCATTCTAATGCTTCCCTTCTACACTCATCTTTCAGAGTCATGCTGTATGACGTTACCATGTATTATATTATATATAATTATATATTATTTATATATATTATATATAATTATATATATGTATATATAATATGATTCATCATCCCACATATTTTAGAACTAAACAGAGGAGTTAGAGTATAGAACCCCCTTGATGCATAAGAAAGACCTCCTAAGGTCCCTAAAATATAAATAGCCACAGAGGAAATAATGAAGCAGACAGTGTCTTCTCAATACAACGTGTCATGGAGAAATAGCACAGTATGAGTAGATCAATTGTTAGCACAAAGCAATACTTTCTCCCCCATAGTCATCCGAAAGATAAATAGAATCCAAGGGGATGATGCATCATCTCTAATGAGATCTTCTCAGTATTTGATGATGGCAAAGTTGGTGCATTTAAAAATATTTTTCTCGATCAGTAGAAAGACCAATGTTCTAAAATATGTCCCCGACTTCAAGTGATCAAAAAGCTTTCATTTTTGTCAGCATGGCTTTCCTAAAAGGCCTTGCCACTGGAAACACAGATGTGGGCACCCTCAAATGTTTCCAGCACCAATGTTTGCCCCTTAAGCCTGGCTTACAATACCAACTCACCTCTGGATGCTATTCCCGAAAGAACAAGAAAAGCTTTTGATAGAAAGTGTTACAGTCTGAATATGAAATGCCCTCCACAGGTTTATGTTGGGGGCACTGATTTTGGAGGTTGCAGAACATTTTGAACATGGGGCTTACACTTAGGGGGATGTGTAAGTGTGAAGGCTACAGACTATCTCCACTTCCTAAAAAGTTACTTTGTAAGCACCCTCTGCCACAGACCCAGCTGCTCCTGCCTCCCTGTGAATGCATTTCCCACCATGAGTGGACTGCATTTTCCTCTGAACTGTGAGCCAACACAAATCCTGGCTCCCATCAGATGTTTCTGCCAAGTACCCTATCACAGTGATTTTATAAAATTAATACAGTAAGTACTGTATTAGGAGGAATTTGAAGAAACGTAGGAAGGAAAATGGGAGGAACCAAGAAGAGTGTTTTGCAATAGACCTATAGCAAAGGCAGCAAAGAGATCAAACTGAGGATTTCTAATAAAGAGACAGACTTGTTCTCATAGTACAAACTGTTCTAGTTATGCTGACAGTTTTTTTATAATAAGACAGGCTCTTGTGGAAGAATGAAAGCCTGCCTTTGTCTCCAGATGTGCATATATATACAACACATGCCTTAGTATCAACTAGTTCTGAGCATTTTGATGCTTTTGTTTATTCTGAATTATGTCGCTCAACGCCCAGCTTCTTATATGAAAATGAGGGTCGGGAAATAGTATGGTTGTAATAGTGCAAGTGCCCACTTACCTCCCATAATTTTGGATTGGCAGTTAATAAACTCTGGCTTCCTGTCTGTGAGGTACCTCTGGCAGGTATGGTGGAGGATCTGGAAGAAGGTGCACTTTTCTGAGGCCGTGCTAGCAACCCACTGGTCAAAGGCATTTTCAAACAACAGGTCAAACTCTGCAGAATCCTGGAAAAGACAGTGAAGTAACTGCTGATTGCAAATTCACACAAACTTCCACTTTGAGCTCTGGCCTTTCAAAAGAGGCACAAAAGCTAAAACAAAAACTCAAAAAAAAAAAAATGTACCGTAACATTCATCTTTACGATGATCCAAATTCGTGGAGAATCTGCAAGTCTTTGTCAAGCAAAGAAATCCAAGTATTTTTATATTTAGATATGTGTCTAGAAGGCCAGCACTGCAGTGGTCAAGACTCGGGTGTCAGAAAGCTGACTGTAGAATCTGCCCAATTACTAGAAAAAAAATTCCTTTAAGTTTTCCACATTGTTTTTTTTTTTTTTTTTTGTTAATTTCTTTATGCAAAGGGTGGGAAGGAATTCCCCTGTTCCTTCAGTACTTCACTGATGTTTGGGGACAGTGAAGGCTGAGCACCAAAGAAAAGAGGTCCTTTGAATACATGCTCACATCATGACACATTTCTGTTGAAATCTTAATGCATTATTTTAAAACGCCATTAAATTATTGGCATTAGGAGGCAAATGAAATGTTGACACACCTGGGTTTTCATACCTAGGGACATGATTCTTTAAGCTCTGCCCTACGTTGAGAAACATGCTGGAGACAGCAGTGTCCTATGGGCCATTTCTTGGGTTTCCCTATCAAACATGGAAAATGTATATTTTCCCCCTAAGACAGGAGCATAGACCGGGGAGTTTTGGTCACATAACTGAAAGAGAGAAATAGCCTCATAAGAAAGGCTCTAGCTACCATTCCCCTGCTGTGCTCTATCAGAGTTATCGTGTGACGAGAACTCCTTTGCCTAGCATTGAGAACTTCACTCACCCGGTTAGGATCGATGCCATTAACCTGGCGCAGCTGCTCGAGCATCCACTGGGATCTTCGGACGAAGGATGTGGAGCCCTCAAACTGTTTGACCTTTGTGATGGATGCCTGTGTGGGTTTCTTGTTTGTCACTGTTAAAACAAAGAGGAAAAAAAAAAAGATTAGTGGGCGGGCAATTTGGCTGATTTCCTCACTCAGTGTTATTTTTACATGACATCGAATGCGCACACGCATGGAGAGAAGATGGGAGCTGCCTTTAGGGAGAAGTGCATGCAAGATAAAGTTATAGCCTCCCCCCCCCCTCACAGCAGTTCATAATGTGACTGTCGCTTCATTTATGTCTTCATCCAATTGAACTGAAAATATCTTAACTGAATTACACCAAGTAATTTAATGGAGGCTACAAGTGCACAATTCCAGCTCTCAGGGAAAGAGGTACGCAGGGCAGGCAGGCCTCAGAAAGGACTCATTAGGAAGGCTGAATTTTAAGTGCGGGAAAGGTTACCAATTCCTTGGGGGTAGTTACCAGGCCTATTTCCGGTTTTACAGTTCACTGTCAATACTGGAGCTTCCGTGATGGACTTGACTTTATAGCATGACCCAGTTTGTATCTAGTTTACCTCTGATTAAGGCTGTCTGGCTAGGATTCTGGGCATAGCTCCAACATGAATTCTTTTCGTCCCTAAACCTGAGGGCCAGGGCAATCTTTCCACCCTAAGTAGTTTTTAATCTTCTGTGCTGCAGGCAGACGGGCAGCATCACCTCTCAGGCAAAGTCAAGCACAGGTACTTGTAAACAGGCACTCCAAAACATTCCTGCATTTGATTACGCGGATAATTTAGGGCTCAAGGATGGTGGAGGAGGTCATTACAGATCGCGACAAGGCTTTCCAACGAGCCACTATGTCATGTCTGTGGAAGCCAGGGAAGCCACAATCATGAGACATCATGAAGGAGCCAGGGAGAGTGCCAAAAACCACTGGCGGCAATGCATTCCATCCCAGTTGCTGCCTTAAGGAAGAATGTGCATCTGGGGAATATTGTACCTGTGCTCCTAATAACTATGCAGATACTTAGCAGGTGGCGTAGAGTTTTGAGGGATGAGCAAGAGAAAACACCTGCTCCAATAGTTGCTGAGAAGAAGCCTCTGTAGGTCTGAAGTGATAGCTTAGCATTTAGGAGCATTTGCTGCTCTTGCAGAAGACATGAGTTTGGTTCCAAGCACCCACGCTGGAAGGCTCACAATTACCTGTAACTTCAGCTCCATGTATGCATGCACACAAACACGTATTTTTAAATAAAGCCTCTATGGTTCATGTATCCTGCAGCTCATTACTGAAGTAGTCGAGAGCCTAAGAGAGAAGTCAATGAGGTGACTTTGCCTTCAGCTGTGGTGAGTCTCCAGGTCCAGCATGGAATCTGGCCTTATGGCTTTAGTACAGTCTCCTTGTGCTCCTAAACTGAATCTAGCAAATAATTTTTGACATCAAATATTGTTTGGGCTTCTTGCTTATTAGTTCAGTTATATTTGGATAAAATGTTCGAACATTTCACACCAGTTCCCTTTCTTCTGTGGTTAGGAAGTCATCATTCCTTCACTACCCCCCTTACAAGATCACCAATGGCCTCTCAGCCTCTAGCCCAGGGGTTCTCAACCTTTTGGTTATGACCCTTTGAGGGGGGAGGGTGAACAACCCTTTCATAGGGGTCCCCTCAGAACATTGGAAAACACAGATATTTATATTACAATTTGTAATACTAGCAAACTTACAATTATGAAGTAGCAATGAAAATTTTATAGTTGGAGCTCATTGCCACATGAGGAACTGTGTTAAATGACCACAGCAATAGGAAGGTTGAGAACCACTGCTCTAGACTATTGCAAACTTTGGGAATCACCATTTTTACACACACACACACACACACACACACACACACACACACACACACGTTATGTGTTAAGTCTCATACCCGGAACAAATAGTTGTGGTGCGGAATTAACACATCATTACCTGATGCCAAGTTCTCCTAGCATCCCTCAGTCCCTAGCTGTTACAGGATATGGTTGGCAGACCCCACCCCCTACCCTGACTCTCCAGCCCAGGGACCGGAGTGCCTTCCTCTAGAGGCTCCTCCCTATATAATCCAGACATTTTGATTACCTGTCCTTTTGTACCTTTGGCCTCCTGGCTGCTGCATTTGGTTCCCCTCTCTTTTCCCCTCCCCATCTCTCCTCAGGGCCCAGCTCAGCTTGGTCATGTCCACTCTGGACTCTCCCAAATGACCCAGCCTCTACCTACGCTCTCCCTTTAACCTACAATAAACTTTCTGCTCTACCATACATTTTCTTTCCTTTTAATTACTTTTCTTCATTCAACACACACCTCCTATGGTGAGAAAGAGACCTGAATGGGCCTCTCCGATAGTGTGCTCTGTGCTTACACTTTCTTGTTAAAAGAAAAGACTATGTGCAGGCCCGAAAATGTGCTGAACATATTAAAGACTATTTTTCAATAACAGGAAATGGGTATTAGACATGTGCATTAGACACACCCCTGGACACACAGGAGGATTTCCTCCCATTTATGAAAATCATACGGCAGACCAGCATCCTGGGAAACTCTAGGCTTTCTTCCTGACCTCAGTTAAAGTTGTAATGAACACCTGTTTTTTTACTTCTGGTCTATTTGTCTCTCCAAGGAGTTTGTAGCATTTTAAAAGTTCTCACACAATGAAGGAATACCGTATGTTCTTGGCATGTTTAAGACACACGTCAGGGAGGCAAATTCCACTGAACGTTTGTCATTGAAACGAACTAATTGGTTAGGAACCCCACCCGCAATGACCAAAGCCCCCACAAAACCCCACAGCAGGGTTCATGCCATATCATGATATTTACATATCATAAGCATATCATAAGCATATAGTTACAGCTCTATCCACTCCTGCCTCATTTCCATAATTACTTTATTACTCTCCCAGTTCTAGTCATCTGGCTAGTTTTCCTGGGCACCAAGCCCGGTTTGGTTTGATTTTCGTTTATTGTTATTATCTCCGACATCCAAGTTTTGAGTCTGAAGCAGGTGCCTTAAAATCATGTTATTATATACACATTATTATAGAATTAAACAAAAATTTCCTCTTACAACATCAAAGCAGTTATATCACTCCAGACTTTCTGAATACAAACCTTGAAGAAAATGTGATCTAACTCCCTCCTGATATTGGGAGTTCATAGCTGATATGAATGAATGAATGAATGAATGAATGAATAAATAAATAAAGCTCTCAAATCTCACCCGTCTAGTGAAGAGAGTACTCTACCAGAAAGATGGTTGAAAGCACCTCTTCAATGCAAACTAATTGCCTGAATAAAAAATATCACAGCACTCACACCAAGCCAATCAACATTTCCTACCCCTAACAGCAGACAACATGGATTGGTAGAGAGGTGGAGGAAGAGTTAGTTTTCTTCAGAGATATGACTCATGATAGGCTGCCCATGCTTCAGCAGCTGAACCCAAGTCCATATTGGAAGCCCTAATTGGACTCAGCGATAAAGAAAAGAGGACATGAGGTTGGGTGGAAGATGAGTTAGAAGGTTAGGAGGAGTTGGAGTGGAAGAGTGTGTGTGTATGTGTGTGTGTGTGTGTGCGCGCGCGCGCACGCTTGTGTGTTTGTATGATCAAAATATATTGTGTATATGTATGATATTCTCAAAGAACAAATAACATATTAAAAAATAAATGTCACAGTGCTGTGTTCTTCACTATCTATATAAACTATAACCCTCAATTAATTATTTTCAGTAACTTTTAAGTAAGTACTGCGATTCTGTTGTACATTTAATAACCAGGAAGGACAGACAGATACAGGCATTTAAAGCAGCAAGTACATATGACAGTCCCCAGAGATACTGCAGTAACCGTCCTCTTCCTTGGTTCTCAGCAATAAGTGAGCATCAGGATCACCCAGAAGCTTCTACAGTAAATATAATGAATGAGCTGTGTGAATGGGAACCTCTGGGGACATGCACACTTTAAATCTACTCAGTTAATACTGAGGCTGATCGACCACCAAGAACCACTAGACATATCCTTATCAATTTAACAAATATTTATGTTTTGTGGGTAATTCTGGGACTAGTAAGATAGGATTCTGATCAAGAACCCAGGTGGCAATACGAGGGGTGAAAATTCTGCAGCACAGCATACATACCCGGGGATGGCGTGAATGGATGGGGTCGGGGTGAGCCATGATACGTAAGTCATCTGAGGAAATAATGTGGGAGCTTTAAGGACTAAAGCAGAGACAGGAGAAAAGTCAAAGTGCTGTTGCAAAGAGACAGCATTTCCGGCAGTGTACAATTATCCCTGGTATGAATTTTCATGATTTTCACCCAATTTCTTCCAGTTGGCCTATGACATATGGCAAGCTAATTGTATACAGAATAGGGAATTATGTTTTTTTTTTTTCTTCTGTAGTTGAGGACAAAACCGAGGGCCTTGCACTTGCTAGGCAAATACGCTGTGACTGAACTAAATCCCCAACCTTGGGAATTCTGTTATTTAAATAAAGTGGTATTTTAAAGCATTTAGAGTAAAATGCAAGCCTTCTACCATGACCTACAAAGCCTCAGATGACCTGCCCTTGGGTGCTAGGGACGGCACATTTCACTTCCCTTTTTATCCCCTAAGCTCCGGCAAGGTCTGTGCTCCAGACCTCCTGCACATGACACACCCTTGGTAGATAAGTCATTTCCTTTGCTTTTTCAGTGTTTCTTGCTCACTGTTCATATTCCATGCTATAGGTTAACTTCCCAGAAAGACACATCTATAGTTAATTTATCAACCGTAGATGTGTTTCATCTATGTAGGTTTCACTTAGCACATTTCGACACCGAACTGTGTTTGTGTGAAAAATAGATTATTTCAAGCCTGGATACAATATCCAATGTCTGCTTCTTTAAGATGTTTGTGAAGAATCAACGTCATGTGCTAAGTCCGCAAACATATGTGAGATGGATATATTTCCACATGAATCTAAGCCACTACTTATCAGTGTGTGACACAGGTTTCCACACACTTTTAAAAACAGTATGTAATTGCAAACAGCTCTTTGGTACAATCTGATTATTCTCTGTGACTTGGGCAAAA